CTAAATCGCTCACTACCTGTTCTAAATCGCTCACAAATCCGCTCAACACTAACACTAAATCACTCAAATATCCGCTCAACACTAACACTAAATCGCTCAAATATCCGCTCAACACTAACACTAAATCACTCACAAATCCGCTCAACTCTGATTGTAATATGACCAAATACGATCAAGGGGTGTCCGAGATTTCTCAAATCGCTCCACCAATTCTCAATCGCTCAAGCCCTAAAATTAAATCGCTCATCACTGTTTTAAATCGGACAAATGATGACCGTATACGATCAATCCAAACATACCTTATGTCCGAATTCGATGAACTTTAACTTCGATCAAGATTATATGCAGTTTAGAGGTCTGCGATGTAGATGAACACAAGCGATTTAGATACGATGAAGAAGAAGCTGGCGATAAAGATGGGCTGCAATATGAGACTATGTGATGAAGAGGTAAACGGGATGGGCTAAAAGAAAACTGGATGGGCCTTATGATTTAGACCCAAAAACATAAAAAACAAAAGAAAATTTTAACAAAATAGATCAAAAACACTGGATTTAAAAAAAATCAAGAACATGTAAAAAAATATTATAAAACACAAAATTCGATTAAATCTTGGAATAGGATGATCAAATCACAAAAGTTTGTGAATAGCAAAGATTCACAATGAAATTACGAACAGTTTGATCATGGTTTTAACACAAAAACACAAGATTTAAAAAAAATCGGATCAAACACAAGAAAATTTGAAGAACACGAAGAACATTAAGAAAATTTCAAAAACTTTTCTTCAAAAAAATCTTCAAATCTAATGATTTCTTCTCTGATTTCGTGCAATCCTGCTTTGATACCAATTGTGTGTCCCTCTTTAATCAATCTTCAATGAAACTCAAACATTCATAGCAATCTTCAAGATTAAACATTCAAGAACTTGAGATGAAGATGAGAGAGAAAGTCAACACCCAAAACTTGGTCAAACTTCAATTACGTAAATCTGATTTATCAAAATGAGCTCTTCTCTACAATTACAAGACTTTACCCTTTATATAGGGTCAAACATTAAAGTCCTAGTCAAAGTCAAACTTTACAGAAAAGTCATACACGATGACTTTTACAATTATAGACAATATTTAACTTTCAAGACGAATACAATTTAATACTGATTTTCAGTCCTAACACTGAGTTTGTAAGGGGTTATTTTGTGACGTGGATAGAAACTTTTAAGAAAGGAGAGCCTTAAGTCAACGGAGTTACACCATTCATAAATTGTGACGATGGTGTTGAGGATCCTTATGTATAACATATTCAAAATTTCACCTAGCTAACGTTATTTTGAGTATGTTGTTACATAAACGTGCTTGAACCCACTGTTATTTCAAGGATTTATGAATGTGTCGGTGTGTATCAAGTTAGTTTCGTATTCTAACTATCCTGACTCTCTTTCACTCTCTTGCATAACAGACTAAATGGTGAATACTCGAAGTAGACGAGACGTCTCACCGGAAGGTCACGCGGTGACTGAATCTACCGCGAATCAACCGCCACGAACCACCATCGCAAGGTGTAAAGCCCAAAATTTCGAGGAAATAAAATAATGCCTCTTAATTATTATTTCTATTTCATTTGTGAATATACATATATATATATATATATATATGTAAATTAAAAATTAGAAATTTAAAATAAGTTAAATTTGTTTTCTTTTACTTACGGCTAAGGGCTGAAGGCTCCAATTAGAGGGGGGAGCCTGCTGTCAGCTTGGGAGGGGCAGCAGAGGCACAGGCAATGCCTGGCCCAATTAAGGAAATTGCGACCTGCATGGTTGCAGGCTGTGGAGAAGACAGTTTCACAGCCCAAAACTCGGGATTTGGCTGATTTGGTCAACTAATAGGCCAAACCCTTTGAGTATAAATCATGGGCACTGGCTTGGAGTTGTTACTCTTTGAAAAGGTGAAGGAGATCGTCGAGCTTGAGAGTGAGAAAACGGAGTTCAAGACCCAACAAGAAACCCCCCTGCTTCTCGTCGTTTAGAGGTAAATACTCGACCAAATTTTATGTTAATAAAATGTCTAGCTATGACTTTGGTCCTGTATAGAACCCTAGAATGCTCACGTCCAAACCTTGTGTCTTAGGTTCGATTTCAAGGATAAGATTTCAGTTGTTAAACACGCTATATCACATTCTACTTAGAAGCCACTTTAGATAATGTTACACAGAAGCCCTGCACGAGAGTTCTGTGTCAAGCGTGTTAGACAGAAGCTCTGTATGAGGGCTTTGTGTCATGTTAGCCAGAAGCTCTGCAAGAGAGCTTCGTACCAAGTTACGTTATACAGAAAACTCTACATGAGAGCTCTGTATCAAGTTGTTTAAGACAGGCTCTGGAAGAAACCACAGAGGGACTCTGGACTCTTAATA